TATATTAATAAATATTTTTTAATTAAACTTAAAAAATTTAAGTTTTATATTGAGCCAAAAAGCGTTCGGAGACTTTTAGCGGGGTCTGTATATAATGATTAACTATCACTTGATATTTATCTTAATGACTTAGTTTTTTACAAATACTTCAAATCTTATTTGTCACCCACATGCCACAAACTGACACAAAATTTGGACGTATATCAGCAATATAAATTTATAATATTCGTATTTTATAAATTCTTCTTTGATTGTTGGAATTTTTCAATTACAGTCGGACCTCTATATAGTTACACTCTATATAAGCACTATATACATATTTATAACAATCACACCTCTATATAATCACCATTTTTAGGTGAACCGATCGTGTGACTATATAGAGGTCCGACTGTAAATTATAAAATTCGAAATTTAAAATCAAATAAATGAACAAATGTTCATTATAAATCAGGTGGTATCTTTATCACTTGACGGACAGTTGTTCCTTTTGACCTAAGAACACAACTATTGATCTCTTCCATTAACGTTTCTTGCTTTTCGATCTCTTCCTGTAATCAGGCAAGCACAGAAAAACAAGTTAATGAACATCAAATATATTATTTACAAGTTGATTTATACACATACGTGGAATATTGTCATCATTCTTAGTATAGATATATACTGACTTCTACCATTGAAACTGAATGGAATGACAACGGAAGCTAGCTCAGTTGCAAGAAAACGTCCGTCGGGAAGCATGTTTAAGGCATATAGTTTCTACAGAAGAGTGTCATTAATAGCATTAGGTTCAAAAGGTCCGTATGGAGAGCTTTTTCGCGTCATTTATGGTTTGAACGTCGGAGGCATTATCTGAGGGACCGGAAACTTCCATGTGCCACACATCAAGGCCATCTGAATGTCTTGTTGCCTTTGCGTCAACCCGCACAATTCCTGAGAACGTCGATGATTTTATCATCTTCGCAGCATGAACATGCGACTTAATCCAATCAAAATAGACATACATAAAGGTGGTCTCATAAAACTTAAAGAGTGACGCTACAAGGTAGATGATGTACTTGCGTTCACCAATATTCCGAACGGCAATTCCAAATTAGATTCCTCTTTCCAGTAGTTGGGCAGAATCCATTCTACTATAATAGCATTTGAGTTAGTCATGAGATACTCCCTATCAGGATGACTAGTGATTCAGCGGTTTAAACAGCTTTAAAAGTAATTAACGTCGAAACTATTTATTTGCATTTGCAATTGAAGTGTAACAAATGACATACTTTTAGGCAAATCTGTATCATGATTCAAGGTCCATCTAGTAAAGCATTGTCGCAATATTCATTGATATGTTCAGCAAGTTCGGCACTCTTCACATTTATCTTTTCATCAAGCTCTAAAAGAATCTTATGCAGGTGTTCCTTTTCATCTTGTATTTTGAAAGGTCCCTTCTCTAAAAATAATATTAATGTTATTGAATCTATGATTTAACTCTAAATCATAATTTTTACTTATCAAATCGCACTCTTTGATAATATTTACCCAGTATGTTTTCAAGTTATTGTTAATCATATGACGTTGATGTTCTGAATTTATCTGTTGCAAAAGAAAATGTTAGCAGAACCATCAGAATTTTTTATTTAGTAATATTGGAAGGAGAATATCCGATTTCTCCTCCGAATCAGCAGACCTTTACCAACAACAAAGTTAGGGTGCCTGAATAGATGTCCTTGGAATGGTTACCAATTAGTCAAACCCAGTAATTCTCCTGAGTCAATGGGCATGTTGCTCTTCAACTTAGGAGTTATCCTCCCTTTGCAAAACAAAAAAAAAAAATATTTGCATTCAAATCCTGCTATTGCTTTCTTGCTTATAAAATTTGTGGTCCAAGAATTGTCAAGGTCCAGCCAATTTGAAGAGGATGTTGTTGATGACATTAACCATTTTACAATACTTTGTCTATAAAGTAATAGAAAGCCACGATATGATTTATTTTTACGATTCTTTATATAGGAAATAAGGTCAGCCATAGCTCCAGCAGACCCAGCTTGTTGCGAAATTTCAGCTCCACACTGTTCTGACTTCTTGGTTTCGTGAAAGAAAAGAAAAGGTTTTTTTGAGATATAAGTTTTCCGGTCTTACCAGGACCGATCCATCCCTAATGGTAAATTTGTATAACAACTATTATTTATTATTTCTTAAAACTTTTATTTTCAGGGGGGGAGGGGGGAGGGTGTAAAATAACTGTCGTGCAACCTATTTATTTCGCCCCATAATGACGTCACGCGATTATAACTAAAACGAATATCCCTTCTTTGTTTTGTATTTTCAATTTTCACTGTTTGTTTTTTTTTTGTTTTTTTATTTTGTGGATTAAGTTAAAAGGAAGAAAAAACAAAAAAAAAAATAAAAACAAAAAAAACAATGGTAAATTCAATTGTTATATCAGGGCAAATTTTTTAATAAATATTAAATTATTTGATACGATTATTTAATACAGGATTCTACTCAAGAACGTGAGGTTAATAAAGAAAACAATGCATTTCTCTTAACCAAGTGAGTTTTTAAAAATCGAGAAATTATATCATTAACTTGGAACTGATATTTTCATGTTTATTTGTTGATTTTTTCACATTGTCTCAAGAAAATCAGAGTCTCACAAATTATCTATGAAGGATTTTAAAGTTAGTCATGAGATCGGAAAGGGTAAATACGGACGCGTACATTTAGCAACAGACAAATCGAGTGGATATATCGTTGCTCTAAAGATGCTATTGAAACAAGAGTTAAATCATAATAAACTCTTACAACAGTTAGAACGCGAAGTTGAAATTCAAGGAAATCTCAAGTAAGATATTCATTTCTTTCGATTCTCTTTATTTAATACTTATTGAAATATATATAAATAAATAAATATATATATATATATTTTTAGTCATTCTAATATCCTTAAATTATATGGATATTTTCAAGATGAAAAACGAGTAGTTATGGTTTTGGAATGGGCTCCTTTCGGAACTTTGTACTCTCAACTAAAAAGACATAAGCGATTTGCTGAAAAACAAGCGTCAAGAGTATATATATTTAATAAATAGATATATGATATATATATATATTTGTATGAGATATTTTATAAAATTAATTTTCAAATTCATTGTTTAGTATATCGCACAGATCGCTAATGCGTTAAAGTACATTCACGAAAATCACATAGTTCATCGAGATTTAAAACCAGAGAATTTGTTAATCGATAAACAAGGAGACCTCAAATTAGCAGATTTTGGATGGGCTACTTATGTACAAGATTTTAAGAGGTAAATTGTTTTTTTTCTAAGGAATTTTCTAATATCATTTATTTCACAATACTTGTAATAATTCATTCCTTACATACAGTTCATCACTTAGAACTATTTGTGGTACTTTGGATTATCTCGCACCTGAAATGGCTAAACATCAGTCTTATAACGAGAAGGTGGATGTGTGGGCACTTGGGATAATATGTTATGAATTATTGGTTGGTACTCCTCCATTTGAATCAATAGGTTTCCATCCGACAATCAATAGGATTATATTCGATGAAGTAATGATCCCGGATTATTTATCAAGAGAAGCGAGTGATTTAATCACAAGGGTAATAATTTAATTTATTTTTAATTTACTATTATTATTATTATTATTCTTTTTTTTTTTTGTTATTAATCCATTAACATGAAATTATTATTAAAAATATAATATAATTTTAACATAATCTAGTTATTACAAAAGAACCCTGAGAAACGTCCTTCAATGGAACAAGTTTTAAATCATCCGTGGATCCGTATTTATAAGAGCTCAACGTCTCAAAGTAAAACGCAGCAAAATTTACCTGCTAGATTCACAAAAATGAAGTTCTCCAAGATTAATTAAGTAAACCATTTAAAATTAAATAGTAATAAACTAAGAGAAAAAAGACAAAAAGAAATTAATAACCAAATATTTTAAACAATAAATATAATCATGAAATTATTTACCAATTGCCAGACACCTTTTGCATACTGCACAATCTCATTAGCACCCATTTTGCTTTCTCCATAAACACGATCCACGAAAGTAATAGGCACCTCACCAATAGTATACCCAAATTGTCTCGCACGGACCATCATTTCCATTTGAAAAACATACCCTTTGGAGATTACTACAGAAATGATTCTTTGAAGAACTTCTTTCTTGTACAATCTATGATTTATTTCTTGAATAAGAATTAAATTCCAACTTTAGGTATAAAATCTGAGGATGAAAAAAATAAAATTAAAAAAAACCTAAAGCTTCCTGTAAGGTCAGATACGCCTGGACGGAGGAGCGTTGATGCAAGAAAGTTGGCACCGCGACTTTAAATTAATTGGAATAAGGATTTGAAAAGGCTTTTGTACTTGGAAAGTCGAATATCATAATCTTACCTTATGATCTTGCGTTTAAGGTCCCATCCGTACACACCTCCATTGCTCGCATAACGCGTCCCGGTTACGATATCCAAATTTCGACTTTTCTGTAATCTAGAATTGAACGAAAAGGATTACTATCAACTAATAATAATAATAACAATAATTAATAATTTACCTAATCAATTCTGGAATGAACTTTGGCTAATAATAATAAAGAAAAGATTAAGTAAGATTGATTAGCTTATTCTTAACATATTAATAAAACTTACATGATGCGAAAAATCCGCGTCCATTATTATAACGAAATTACCTGTCACGAACTGAAGTCCATGAATATAGGCTGTTCCTAGACCAAGCTTACCGGTTCTTGGCTTCAGTTTCTTTTAATTTTGGAAGAAAGGAATTTAGGAATTTATATGAAATTCAACTTAAAAAGTATAAAAGTACTCACAATGCGGTCTTGATGATAAACATTTATAAGCTGCTTTGCAATTTCTTGCGTGCCATCTGGAGAGGCGTCATCAACAATGATAATCTCCCAATCAAGGTCGCTAGAAAAATGAATGAATTAATGAAAAAAGTCCAATAAAAAAAAATTATATGCGATATATCGAGTAAAGACATACTTTTCTTTAAAAGTTTTAGCTAGTAACCATACAATAATTGGTAAATTACCACGCTCATTATAGGTTGGAAGAATAACACTGTATTTGTTCTCTACTGAATCTGTTGCAACTTGAACCGAGGAATAAGTCATTGTCAAAAATATCCATTCATAAATTCGGTCAAATCGGATTTAAAATCATGAAAAGAAAAATCACATGGAATCTGTTAAGCATTTAGGCTAATTTTAGAACATATGCTGATCTCGAATTATTTTTATTTTTGTTTATGATGCGATAAAAAGTAATTGTTATTATATAAATATTTAAATTAATTAGTGGGTTTTAATTAACTTATCATGTTATTTGATGTCCATAAAAGGAACAATCGGGTTTGGTTTCTGAGGTAAAGAGCCTTGTTGTAAAATTTGTAACAATGAGAGCCACAAAGGGGATTCATTATAATACGATGACAAGAAATTAATTTACTATAAAAGGTGGATAAAATTCGCTTATGTGGGTCATTTGGATTAGAACATCCCAAAAAATTTATTTTGTCTTTTTAAATATATATATATATAGAGCTGGTATCTCTTAGTAATTCAAACCTTTCTCGTAGGTCTGTTCTATAAAAAATGGATCTCCATAAATTAATTTGCAGAATTCTACAAATTCTTTTTGCAATATTATTGCTTATCTATTTGATAATCAATACAATTATGGATATATCTCGGTCCAAAAATGTACATACAACAACTACAATTGAGAATGTTGAAGAACTTGTTCCACCAGCATTTTCATTATGTAGCAATGATATTGATTTTATATTTAACTGTAATGCCTATGGTGAAGACTTGGCAAATTGTAAAAATTTAGTGAGAACGGTCGATGTTTCTAATGATGCGACTTATAATTCATGGTTTACCAAATGTGATGTCTTTCAAACTACGAAACCAATGCTTTTCTCCTCATCAAAAAGACAACTGAAAGATTGGTCATCTCATCATTCTCCTTTCTTCATCAAATATTTGTTTCGCAATGAATCTTCTTCACCGTCATCAAAAATTTCTTTCATGTTATGGAATCCATACGATTTACTTAATGACGCTGTATTATCCACCGAAGCAACTCCACAAATCCTAAATCCATATCGAATAATAAATATGGATGCTATGAGAGAAAGAGTTTACTCATTTTATTGGAGAAAGTACATCTTTCTTAATGGAACAGAGAAATTTAATTTGGATTTTCAACTTGAACTCGATGCATCTACAATTACTTTCACCCCTCCAATTGGATTGGTGCATTTTAAACCCGCTTCATTCAGTATGGAAATCACTCGTGAACACTCTTGCTTTCCCACTTTCTCGGTATTCACCATGTTGATCGTTCTTTTAGCCGTCTTCAACATTTATTGGGGATTATTTAGTGGTAAAGGAAAGTATAAAACTTGGGGTCTCGCTCATGTCTTTACTAGTTATTATCCACAACAGCATATACTTCCAATGGAAGACACTCAGGCATTAAAACCTACTGCTGACGATGTTCTAAGAGTTTATCTTCATGGCTTAGATAAAGCCGAATTCGAGAAAAGGTAAAAAATTATAAATGGACAGTAAAGAAACAACTATTTTGTATATATTCAAAATTATAATAGTCAATCTTAATTCGATCAATAACATTTAAAATTAATAAATTGGTCAAACTTGACGTTTGAACGTAATTAAGATTTTTTTTTTTTTTTTTCTTTCGTGCATGCAATCAAAAGCTCAATTAATATTTTTTAACTGATCTATCAAATGGAAAAGATTGCGCAGCAATTAAGGAAAATATCATTGAACTTATATTATAAATAATATTACGTCTTTATAAGAAATGAGATATTTCGTCATGCTCATAAATATTTTATCTAGTGGCGAGACAATGAATTTGGTGCTTTGAAATTTTCTTTGACGTAATGTAAAATAATAGTAAATTTATTGTTACAATAACCAATTACCCAGAGTTTTTTTTTTTTATTTGTTTGAATTTTGATCTACATTCCATTAAACAACATGCACATGTTCATACAACAGGTTTCGCTAAGCCAATCAAAATTATCTTCAAATATAGTTCAATATAGTTTCATATTACTCTATGCGTTGAAACTTTTTTTTTTATTCCAATTCTCTTTTTACCGTTGAACTATGAATTCGTTGAAACATGAGCAAGCTGTTTCTGAGTTAGATTCTTCCGATCCAGCTGTTCGTGTAAAAGCTCTTCGTTTTATAAAGAATCACATCATCGGAAATAAAACGAAAAAAGATCTATACATTCGACTTCACGTCATTCCAAAGTAAGTAACTGTTTTGGTATTAAGCTTACTTCATGTATGTTAATTGACTTTTTTTCCTGCTTGATAGGCTTGTAAAATTCTTTAAAGCAAAGGATACTGTTGACTCTCAAGTTCAAATACAAGCTGCGATCGTGTTGGGCAGCTTCGCATATGGTCTAATATATATATATATATTTTTTTTATATATTTTCAGTCGTCAGTAATATCAATATCTAAATATGATCTTTATTAATAGGAGGCGAAGAAAATGTTACCGAAATAGTTAAACACGATGCGGTCAAGCCTTTGTTAGAATGTATCTCTTTACAAAATGATCCTCGTCTGATTGAAGCTGCTGCTAGGGCATTGAAAGCCATCTATAAATGTCCTACTGCAGATAAGAATGATATTTTCGTCGATTATCATTTACGTGATCTTATTACTCTCCTTAATCCTGATGCCCTAAATCCTAAAACCGATCGTGAAAGGATTGCTTCAATACATACTGCTGAATTGGCTGCCACGATTATTGCTCGTTGTTGTGATACTAATGAGCAACAAATGCAGATAGCTAATGCTGGCGCTTTTCCAGCTTTGGTTAATTTACTCACTTGCGGGTTTTCTAAGGCTCAAGAGGCTGCGTTGGATGCTTTGGCTTACCTTTGTCGGGAAAATCCCGAATTTGGAAAAGCAATTGTAGAGACAAAATGTAGGATATTGTCAAAGGGGTGGAGATCATTATTTTCATGATTTATATTAATGAATGACATTCTTATTTCCATTTTAGCCGAAACAAGCGACAGTCCGGTTAAAATCATGTTAAATTTGATTCTGGATAAATCACCAACTATGCGTTTAATAGCAGCAAAATGGTATAATTTTTTTTTTTTTTCCCTACATGTCTATTACTTTTACTACTAAGTTATATAACAATCCTTTTTTTTTTTTTTTTTTATACAGCCTAACCCACCTAAGTCGTGCCAAGGCTATTGGCGAATATTCCGACGATGTCACTCTAATTGTATTGCCCACATTAGTAAAATTACTCGACGAAAAAGGTCCTGTTCGTGAGGAGGCACCTCATGTTTTGGCTTATTTGATTCGTGATAATGAAGAGTTACAAAAGGCCGCATGTGATTCAGATGCGGTCCCAAAATTGGCGGATTTCGTAACACATGTCGTGGATCAAGAAAGTTTATATTATGATCCCGTTGGTGATGGTGATAAATTAAAAGAAGTTGGTTGATATTTACTTAATACTTTCAATGTATTTTATACCGTGAAAGTGATTTATTCAATCCTATTT